GGGGCGGGGGCCCCCCCCCCCCCCCCCCCCACTGCTACCACTTCCCCTCCACACAGAGCGGCTCTCCTGCCCCCTGCCCTCGTCCGAGACCAGCTCTGCCCCGATGAGTCCAGCCAGCGCCGGCTGCCTGCCCAGCGCCCTGCGCCCCTGCACCAAGCTCCCGTGAGTGGGGCTGGGGGCTGCTGAGCTGTGACAACTATGGGGAGATGGGGGATATTGCTTGGGGCTGGCACTGCTGGGGCTGGGGGGGGAGCCGTAGCAGGGGTGCACATGGCGGGTAGGGGGGTCCGAGCCTAGCTCAGCACCACCAACTCTCCATCCTCTGTCCCCCCAGGCGGGCATCACACCCCAAGAAGACCGGCCGCTTCTTCCCCTCCCCACCCTAGGGGACAGACATGTTCCCTCCTGCTGGGGGGGGCAGCACTGGGGACCAGGCCCCTCCTGCTGCCCCCACTGCAGAGGGGCTCTGGCCCAGTGCCGCACCCCTGGCCAGGGCTTGTGCCCGTCCCTGGCAGCCCCCAGGCCCAGCGCTGGGGGCATGAGGCTGGATTTTTCTCTTGCCCCCCGGAGTGAACCCACCGACCTGGGCCTCTCTCTGCACTGAGGAACAGCTTTTGTTTTGGGGGACAGGGCAGGACAGGATGCGCCAGCCCAGAGCCCCCATGGGGTGGTAGGGGGTGCCGGGCTGGGGGCACTGGGCACTTGTACCTTTTGGGCTGGTTTCTATTAAAGGCTTGTAGCAGAACGGCCCGGCCCTGTGCTGTCGCGGGGCCCTGTGAGCCCGAGCCCTCTGGTCAGCTCCTCGCCCAGGCTGTGCTGCGGGTCCTGGCAGCTTTCTGCATGTCTGGAGCATGTGGCTGAAGCCACGGCAAGTGGGGCAGCTGTTCTGGGAAGAGCCCAGCCCCTGTCTGGTTCTCATGCCAGCCACGGCGTGCGCTCTGGTGCTGAGTGCATGCCCGTGTGCTCCAGGGTACATCTGTCCCTCCCCTCTCCCTGGCTCACAGCTGTCTGCCTCTCCTGGCTGGCAACCCGAAGGGGGGAACGAGCTGCTCTTGGCTGCAGGCAGTGGGTCCCCTGTCCCGGGGTTGGAGATGAAACGGGGCCAAGCTCTGGGGGCAGGAGGGTGGGTCAAAGGTGGCTCAGCCCCCAGCGGGGCGTCTGCAGCAGAGTGAGGGCTAGGGGTGGATGTGTGGGTGCAGTCGCAGCCCCTTTGATTCCAGCTTGACCTGAAGTTAAGCCCTAGGTACTGGCGGGCAGGGGCAGGGGCACTTCTATCCAGGCACCAGGGAGAGCTCAGATTTCTGCTGATCTCCCCCCACTCGCAGGCGTGAGCGCCCCTCTCCTTGGCAGTGGCTGTGATGCTCTGCTGCTCAACCCATCCCTCCCTTCCTCCGCCATGCCGCTGTCCATCAGCCTTGCCTGGTGCCATCTCTCATCTACCTCCAGCCCCGCTGATGGCATTTGGCTTTAGCTAGAAACCTTCGCTCAGGGGTGGGCCTGTGGAGCCGGCTGCATGGTGGGTTTGGGAGATGGCTGCGTTTGGGCAGTCCTTCAACCACACCCAGGTCTTTGCTCCCTGGCCTTGCTGCCTTGCCAGAAACCTCTTGGCTATGAGTCCATCCTCAACACAGGCCGCGCAGGGCGCTCCCACGGCCTGGTTCATCTGCAGCTCCTGGGACGCTGCCTCCAGCTCCGCCACGTTCCCACGCTGTGGACCTGAGTCCCAGCTTGGCTGCAGCTGTGCCCCGCAGGGTCCTGGCTACAGGCTCTTGCCCCCAACTCATGCTGTCTTGTGGGGGGCAGGCAGGGATTTGCCCCCTGCTCAGTCTGGACAGAGGGAGGGGAAACCCCCCTGGGTGGCAGTGGGGGCACGGCCTGGGCCTGGGCTCTCTGCAGCGCCCACGAACCCCGGGCAGCAGTAGGACATTGGCTGCCATGGCCCCCTGTATCCCAGGGGCAGGGGGATGCCCAGGGCTGTGCCAGAGGCAATGGTGTGCAGCTCTGTGGTCGCACACGGGGTTTGTGTGGGCAGGTCTGGAGGGAGCGGATCCTGCCTCGGGCTGGATGCGACCCCACAGCTCCCCGCACTCGGACTATAATTCTATGAATGTTTAGACTACTTTGACTATTTTTGCCCAGTTTGCTGTGCTTTTTAACCTGAACGTATGACCTAGCCCACGCGCATGTGCCATCACCCTCAAGCACCGAAAGCCTTGGCCAAGCCCAAACCTGCCCCGTTGCCTCCCCCACCCCGCCCCCCAGCACTGCATCTAGGGCTAGCGCGCCAGTGGCATGGGGAGACCGCAAGCACTAATCCTGGCCGACGTGCTGAGCACCCTCCAGCACAAGCACAACAAAGCGGCAGCTCAAGCATGAAGGGAAAAGCCTCGCTGCTTCTGGGCCCTGAGCTGCACCGAGGGGCCGGGGCTGGAGCCAGGGTCAAGCTGAGCTGGACCTCCTTGAAATCTGACCCCGTGGGTCAGCCACGTGCACCAGCACAGGACCGAGGGTGGAGGCCAGAGGCCCCTGGGGTCATGGAGGGGTTGGAGGCTACCAGCAACTGGGGCAGAGGCTGAGCCGGGGGAAGCAACACCCGTGGCTCCATGTGCTCTGGCCAGGGTCACAGGTGGGGGGCTCAGGGCAGCCTGCCCCCGGGGCTAGCGTGAGTCACAGGCCAGGGCTGCGGGCCCGCAAAACTGTGCACCGGCTGTGGGAGCCCTGGCACCCCGAGGCCCAGCAGGTGCCCTGGGCTCCCTCCCAGCCCCGCGCCAGGAGGGGCCGCAGCAGCTCCCCCAGCCCCGGGCCTCACCAGTGCACTTGCTGGTGTTGTGCACTGTGAGCTGCAAATCTACTGGACACAAAACCATGGACTAAATACAGATGTTCAGTTTATGGCACATTATAACCACCTGGTAGCCCCAGGTAACCGCTGCATTTTACCAGTTACATCTTCCCCTGAGGGCAGCATTCCCCCCCATCGCCTTGGATCTGCCCTGCCACCAATCTGCATTTTCACAGACCTGCATTTTGCATATTGGCATCTATCCCACCTGGGAACGGGGGCACCAGCAGACTTTCCCTATGCCTGAAGAGGCGGGGCTTGTGCCCCCAAAGTTGCAGAGAACCATTTTCCAACTACAGGCAGGCCTCCGACCTCCGACCAACCACAGGATAAGTTCCTGAAAACCACAAATTGAAACGTTGTAACTCAGAACCGATGTTCTCATAAGAAACAATGTTATAAATGCGGGATTGGTTCCTGAACCGAGGCCCGATATCCTATTTTCACCAAAAATACCCCAGAATTTCGTAGTTGATCAATTATAGAAGAGTAATATAGCTACATGAATGTATTTATATTGTAAATAGCAATCATATTGATTTGGAAGGACTTCTTTGAGGTGACTTTGCTGGGCTTTTTGACGAGCTCTTGGTGGGACTTTTTGATGGGCTCTGGGCTGGAGTCTGCTCAGGAGGGAGTCCTGGCTGCAGGTTTTCCTGGAGTCTCGTCGGCTTTTTCAAGGAAGTGTCCGAGGAAGTGTGGACAGACGTCCTGCAGGGAGATGAGCGGTGCAGTGACCTTGTTCGTGGCGTGGCGTGGCGTGGCATCGGATCAAGCGTTGTAAAGCTGAAACCGATGTCATAAAGTTGAAACAGGGTGTCCGTTTATAAACCTTGTAAGTGCGAACCGTTGTAAGTCGAGGACTGCCTGTATTTAGTTGGTCTCATAAAAGATAACACGTCTACCCAAGAAGCCTGGTCTGCCCACAGCCCCCATGAGCACCAGTGCGTCGGAGAAGGGGCAACCAGCAAGACCTGCGGCCCAGGCTGATCTGGATGAACCGGCGGAAACAGGACAAAGGAGTGACAAAGGTCGCCGGCGTAATGCAAACCGTTGCAGCGTGCAGGGACGATTCCCCCTGCAGCGAGCGCCCGCAGCCACCCTTCACCCTAGGGTGGGGGCCACAGGCGTGGGAGACGTGGCACGCGCAGTTCAAGCTGGCAGTGAAGGTAAATGCACAGGAGGAGACGGTCAAGCTGGACTTCCTGGGCCTGCTGCTCACGGGGAGGTCAGGCTGGTCTACCACGGCCTTGGCACCAACACCAAGCAAAATTACGGAGGCCCGATACAGGCCCTAGGGAAAACTTTTGACCCAGCTGCGGACCCCAGCTGGGCTGGCCTGGCTTTCAGCTCGCAAGGGAGGACCCCCAGAGTCGGCATGAGACTTTGGCCTGGCGCTGCAACACCTGGCTGGACAGACCTCCCCGCCACTTGGCTCTCACACGCATGACATGCTTGCCCGGGACTGTTTAGTGCAATGCGCCTGCAGCAGGGAGATGAAACCTCAGCTTTGGCTGGGAAACCCCCTGAGCCTGGAGGCAGCATGCACCTGGCCACTGACTTGGAGCTGGCAGAGCAGATGGGCGCCCCAAGACCAGGACCCACGCGCCTGCCAGAGATGAGCCAGCACCACGCAGCCAGCCCTGCCGGCGGCGATGCAGAAACTTCAGGGTGGAACAGACAAAACCCACCAGACTTTGGAAAGCCAGGGCCCAAGCAGATGTGGCAGCCGGGGCCCACCTGGACCACAGCGGCCAGGGCTGCGTCAGGAGGCTGCCGGCCCTCTGGTGACCACGACCATTTCTGGAAGGACTGCCTAGAGAGATGGTGTCCCACGCAGGGAAACCGAGGCAGGCATCGGAGAAGGGCCCAGCCACTGCTGCTCCACCCCGAGGCCCACAGGACAGGGTGGTCACTGTTGGTTGTGCAGGACTGAGGCACCTGGAAGGAAAGCTAGGAGAGGTCCCTTTCTCCCCTCCTGGAGAAACATGTCCTGGCTCTAGGTGCTCAGTATCCCTTGTACGTGGCTGGCGTGGGACCAAGGGCTAGAAAACTTCACCCATCAACTAGTGCTCAAAGCAGGCAGTGGGGAGGTACCCCAAACCCTGGGGGCGGGGTACAGCCATCAGCTCCCACAACTTGCTGCTGCCCGGCAGCGATGGATGCTACCTGGTGCACCGACTTCCTCAAACAACTTGAGGCCGGTGTGAACCTCACAGATCACTGTCCCTCGGTGGGACGTTTCCCCATTCCCCGCAGCGGGTCGAATGGGAGTGCGCGAGGCGGCCGCAGGGGAGAGCCCGACGGCACCCCCTAGGAGCGACACAACCATCAGACCCAAGAGCTGGCGCAGCAACGAGGACGGGGGCTTCCTCTAACAGCTGTGAAGAAACTGTCCAACAAGTGGCATGAACTGGCAGGCCGGCCCAGCCCAGAGCCTGGTTGTACATTGCGCCTGGATAAAGCCCTACGGCACTCGCGGGGCAGGGACCTGGCCCCACGATGGGGCTGCACAGCTGTCCCAACGACCAAGGCACTGCCAGGGGCTGCGTGACCCGGCCATCAACATAACCTCAGATAGGCCCGAAGTGCTGCCAAATGGTGCTCGCGGGCCAGTTGTCTGGTGGGAAGGAGCGGGGAGGAACCAGTGCCAAGGGGAGACCCAGGCTGGACACAGCCTACCAGGACTAACAGGAACCCCCGTCCCCAGCGGGCCTGACAGACCTGGCTGTAGCGACGGTCAACAAGCGCCAAGGGGAGACAGGGTACTCAAAGCCTGCCCGAGCCCATACCCGTGGTCCTGAATCCCCAGGTAGATCCAGAAGAGACTGAAGAGCCCTGGAGTGACTTAGCAACTACACAGCGTCATGTCAGTGGATGTGGGGGTGCTAAAAAGGGGGTAACATCATGTTCTGTGAATTGTACGTGAGGCGGCTGCGAGTATGTAATCCCTGCGAGTCCCACAAGCATCCGCGAGAGGGAGACGTGGCGAGGCAGAAATAGGCTAATCCAGAAATAGGCTTTGGGGAGATGGAGACAAAGGTGGGGGAAAAGCAGGAGCTGCTGGAAGAGGAGAGGGGGAGACGCGCAGCTGGATTCAGACCACAACTGCGGCTCCTGCCTTGGAGACCCGTGCAGGGCAGCGGCGGGGCTGAGGCCGGTTTGCAGGGATGCACCAGAGCTGCTAAATACATGTTTAAGGTGTTACCTAACCGACTGCTACCAGCCTCACATGTCATGACACCGATGTGACGCTGCACGCTGACCTGTGCCTGTTCTTTTTTGTGACCCGAGTCCCCAATACCTCATATATAAAGTTGGAAACCCCAGCTGGTGCCTGTGCTCTGGGGCACAGCGTCACTTGGGGTACGCTACGCTGGGCTGCAAATCATTAGCTAACGGCACGCGGCAGGGCTGAGCTCCCAGCGCTGCCAGGGGGAGAACAGGACTTCCAGGCACGGAGAGAGCAAAGCCAGCTGCCAGCCCCAGTCACCTGGCCTGAGCTCTGATCAGGCCTGGGCCTGGCATGGAGCCCCCCTGAGCTGTGCTGGGGTCTTTGGCACCAGCTCAACCCAGCTGTGAGGTGGTGCTGTGACTGCGCTGGCCTGGGCATGGGGAGACGCAGGCAGCAGAAATCCAGCAGCTGCAGCCACAGCCCGGCTCCGAGGGCACCAGGGCCAGGAGGCAGGACCCTGACGGAGACCAACATCTGGGCACCAGCTGCCCCGGTCTGCGGCAGGAGCTCGCTGGCCGCAGCGTGCAGCCCGGCCCCGAGGGAAGCAGCAGACATGGGGCAGGCGCGGATGCAGCTTTAATGCCTGTCTCAACTGCAGCAGGTGCCAGGGCAGGGTGGCAGGGCCCAGGCCAGGTCCTCTGGCTGCAGCCGCCCCTCACAGGATGATCTGGTTCTTGTAGCTGCGGCTCAGCTCCTTGTGGGGCAGGACGATGGAGTTGAGGATCACGACCTCGGCGGGGATGGTGACATTGCAGCCTGTATGGAGATGACCGGATGTGCGGTCAGCAGCCGCCCCCACGCCCCCACTCATGGTGCACGCGGCCCAGGCGGCCCAGGGCAAGGCAGCACCTACCCAGGATAGTGATGGAGGGTGTGAGGCGGCCGTCCCGGAAGAGGGTCTCGCTGTCGATCTTGGCATAGGGGTCGTTGGGGTTGGGGTCACTGGGTGTCCCCTCGACCCGGGCCCAGCGCCCGATGGTGCTGTCCCAGCCCACAATGCTGTTGAGCACGCACGTGTGATCCTGGGGAGAGCACAGCATGGGATGAGGGAACCCACTGCTCCAACGGACCGCACCAGGACGGGGGCAGGGGGCTGTGGGTCAGAAGTGAGGCGCACCAGCAGGGCTGGCAGGAACAGAGCCCAGCTCAAGCCAAGCGTGGGGTACCCAGGGGCCCTGGCTGTGCTGCACTGCACTGCCCCAGGGGTCCTAGACCTCCCTGCCCCCCTGCTCTCGTCCCCACCCTCACCAGCGGCCCCGCACC